GTTCAACCGCCCCCCCCCGTCATCCATTGTCTTAAGCTCGAACGGCCGTCCAATGCATCCAAGATTCTCTAATGCTAGTCTAAGATTGATCGATTCATGATTCTAAATGAAACTCACACAATTTCTTCAAACAACCCTATACATGAAAATTATTTCATATTTATTTTATATAGGATAAATAATTGTTTCTTTTGTCATGACAAATGTTGCTCCCCGCACGCACATACACTGAGAGCTACAGATCAAGAAAAATAATACAAAACAGATGTTGCTTTCACTTTCTCTCACTTTCTCTCTCTCTCTCCCTTATAATTAATATCAACAGTTTTTATAAAATTTTTGTACTTATGTAAATAAATTTTTTACATAATAACATAAAATTTTGAAAAAATAATTATTATTGAATAGAATTATGTAATAAGTGTGGTAGACCAAAGGAAATGAATGGTAATAATGTTAGAAGTTGCAGTAGTAGTAGTAGTAGTAGTAGTAGTAGTAGTAGTAGTAGTAGTAGTAGTAGTAGTAGTAGTAGTAGTAATAGTAGTAGTAGTAGTGTGAGTAGTAGAAGTAGTAGTAGCGGAGCCTGCTGGAGGAGTTTGAGGCCGCGGTGGAGCTGGTGGGTGTGAAGCGGCCCGAGGTGGAGTTGGTGGTGCCGGGGACGCTGCGAGGAGGTGAGGCGAAGGCGGTATACGACAACCTGGAAGGTGCCGCCGGGAAGACGGCGTGGAAGACGGTCACCGGGCGGCTGATGACGGAGTTCGACAGCCCAGTGAACAGGGAGGAGGCGCCGCAGAGGTTCCGGTTGGCGAAGCTGTCGGCTGATGGTGACCCGTCGGTGCCGGCTGTTGAGCTCACGATGTTGCTGCGCCGTGCTCTGCCGAATATGGATGGGGAGTCGGGGCACAGTTGTTGGCGTCGCAATTTATTGAGAGCGGGCCTGCCGCTGTGTCCCAGCAGCGCGAACTAGTAAACGCTACACGTTGGATAGATGCCGTACCCATTCCAGACCAGCGGGCAAGAACAATGACCGAAGTAGTAATCCGGCATATTGTACCGTGTCATGGAATACGGAAGGTGATATTAACTGACCAGAGTCCCTGTTTTGAAAGTGACGACAGCTTATTAAAACGATGGACGAGTGTGGTGCGAGCTATTTATGAGTAGTAAATGACGTGAGTGTCAACGTAATGTCTGGCAGCAGAAGATGGGGAAAGATCAAGAAAGAAAGAGTTAGAACACAATGGATTTTGTATGAAATGCATGAATAGTGACAATGGATTGATGTTTTGTAACAGGAATAGTCCAGTTTGATATGATGAACTGATATTTTGCAAATGAACGATTTACGATATGGTTTTCCTATTTTACTGAGTAACTCTGTAATTTTCGTTAAATACAATTCGGTTGACTCACCTGTGTTCTCGTTCACTACAGATCGACTGAAGTTAGATATTTACTTCGTTGGATGCGGACACATTGGTCTAGTGGTAAGGCAATCAAGCTTCAATGCGAAAGTTGTATGCATGGTTCCGGATAGCAGTGGTCTTGGATGCCAAATGTTGATAAGTTTCATGCTAGCTATTACATCATAGAAAGGAATTGTTCAGTGATGCTCTTTAATGACTGAAATAGATATTGCTTACTTTGCTTACTTACGCCTGTTACCCCCGACGAAGCATAGACAGCCGACCAGAATTCTCCAACCTGTCCTGGGCCTTCATTTCTAGTTCTAGTCAAATGATTTTCATTCTTCGCATTTCTGTGTTCTTTGGTCTTCCTCTTCTCCTTTTTGCCTTGAGGAGCCCAATTGAGGGCATCTTGTGACGCAGTTGGTTGCTTTCCTCCATGTGTGTCCTATCCACCTTCAGCGTTTCTGCCTAATGTCTTCCCCTGCAGGATTTTGGTTTGTATTTTGGTACAGAAGATTATTACTGATCGAGGCTCACCCATAGGAATCCTCCGTATCTTGTGTAGACAACTGTTAATAAACACTTGTATCTTCTCGATGATGGCTTTCATAGTTCTCCAAGTTTCCCCTCCCTATACAGTACAACTTTCTTGACATTTTTATTGGAAAATTGTGACTTTGGTGTTGATTGATAGTTAGTTGATAGTTCTAGATGTTCTGAAATTATTCGAAATGCTGCATAACAAATAATGAACTCAGGAATTTTCTATCTCGACCTTACTGAAAAGTGTCATCCCTAGCTTGGAAAAAGCCGTCAAATGTCAAATATGATATCACAGTTTTTGTTAGATACTCAGTCTGTTATGTCATATACCATAATATATAAGATTTAAAATATTATACTTTCAGATTATCAAAACCAATTACTTGGATTATGAGTTGTGATCCAACCAACTCATCAAACAAATCATTCTATATTGTAAGAGTTGATAATAAGTGACTAATGATAAACTTGATTGTACCGATCAGAATTACCTACATACTTCAAACTTCTAGGAAATGAACACTAGTTGGTCAGAACAAGAAAGTAAGGCTCAGGACGGAGTAGGTTGGAGAATGCTAGTCAGCGGCTTATACTCCATCGTGGGTAACAGGCGTAAGTAAGTAAGTAAGTAAGTAAGTAAGTAAGTAAGTAAGTAAGTAAGTAAGTAAGTAAGTAAGTAAGTAAGTAAGTAAGTAAGTAAGTAAGTAAGTAAGTAAGTAAGTAAGTAAGTAAGTAAGTAAGTAAGTAAGTAAGTAAGTAAGTAAGTAAGTAAGTAAGTAAGTAAGTAAGTAAGTAAGTAAGTAAGTAAGTAAGTAAACAAGCTTTTAAGCTAACAGTTCATTTAAATCATTTATACTAGTCATGTTTACTACTGCAACTAATCAGTCTCATTTGACATTATATGTATCCTGTACAGATTGACTTGGTATTGTTATTCAAGTAACAGTGAAATTAGGAATGTACATCTCTTGTCTACTTTTTTGACTAGTCAGCTGGTTTTACTTGCGACATTCTGGGCTTGATATTCACTCCAGGACTCTGACGCAGTACATTCGGTTACTTATGCAAATTGTATTAGATTTCATCGTATTGCGTATGTAAGTGGCTACCTGGATTCAGTAACTAAGTGCATAATGAGATCGAGTTTGAAGCAAACAGTATTGGGTTCTAGTCTCGAAGTGAGCATCAACCCTGGGATGTAGCAGGTCAAATCAGCTGATTAGTCAAAAACTGAACAAGAGGAGCACATTCTTCATTTCACTAGGACTTGAATGGCAATATCATTCATTACCTCTCTACACATATAATCCTCACCATAGGTTTTGGAGATAGTCGAGTTTCATTGGATCGATAGTGGTTCTAGCGTGAGACCGAAGTTCTTCAGTTCATTTCTTGTTTGCGGTGTCATAGATGTCCAATGCTGATGAGTCTCATACTCGAAGTAAACAATTATCTTATTCTCCCAGATATCTAACGGTAGTCTTACACAATTATTATTTACAACTAAACAGTCCTAGACTGACGACCTCTTTAATTTATTTTGTTACACATGTTGTCAGTGTTACTTACTTACTTAGTTACTTACGCCTATTACTAGTAACGAAGTATGTTCCGCCGACCAGCTTTATTTTCCATGGTTAGCGTTTTTGTATCGTGTTGATTTTCTACGGGATAGGATTACTAACTCTACCCTCAACCCTCCTTTACACGGGATCAGGACCAGCAGTAATGCATAGACGAACTCCAGTCAGTCAGTCAGTCAGATGCAACGTAGAACTTCGTACGTAAGTACATCAGTTCACGTTGCCATACCACATTAGCACAGAGATGTAATTGTCAATTCAAATCCAACAGTAGTAGAGGTAGTAAAGGTATTAGAAGTGATTGGAGAGGTTAGTAATTAGAAGATATTATTCAAGAAGTATGATTCAGTGAGATAAGTTTAGAAAGTCAAAACTAGAGGGGTTGAAGAACCCAGAAGATTAGGATTTGAGAGAACACAAAGAATAAATGCACCGGCGCCATTGCACACGGTTTTGGGACATGTCATTCAGGGTCTCTAACCATCGATTATTACCAGGTAGTCGACACCTACCGACTTGACTCAGTCTACTTGTCAGTAACTTCATGGATTTTTGCCATCTTTTGGTCTGGCCACCCCTAACTTTCTTCCAACCTATTCCTACACCACAAAACATAGCTCGTCGAGGCAGTCGGTGGTTAGGCATACACAACACATGTTCCAACCACTTCAACTGATGAAGATTCACTAATTCATCTATTGATTTGCCATCCTTACCTAGAAATCGATTCCTAACGACAGCGTTACTTATACGGTTGTCCCACGATATACGAGCAATGCTTAGAAGACACCTATGATCGAAGACCAGTTACCTACGACTATCTTCTACTCTCAATGGCCATGTTTCACAGCCATCAAGTAGGACGGAGCGAACTGCTGCGCAGTACACTAGTCCTTAGGTTAGCAAACGGATATCTGGCCTACGCCATAAATGACGCAGGTTGGCAAAAGCCAATCGAGCTTTCTGTATCCGAGCTGAGATTTCGTCAGTCACTAGGCCATCAGCGCTCCAGATAAGTGAAGCAGTCTACACGTTCGACTACTTCACTTCCAATCACTAGTTCAGGTAGACGAGCTCCAAGCACTGTCATATCGTAGATATGACATCGTCTAAAATCGATTCCCATAAAAGCTCATCAAAAAACTCACAGAAATAGTCCAACAATGATTGGATATTTTTTCTATTACTCTCTAAATTTTCATTGGTTCATTTTTTCTCTAACATTGTTAAAACCAATCACATTTTAGAAGTCGACCATCAAAATCAAAATATCATTGGTTATTGTAAGACTTACTCATTGGTTCATTTTATACAGAAACTTTCTTTTTAAAACACTGAAAACACATACTTTACAAATAAATTTTTTTAATTACAAATTAGAGTTACAATTATAAAAATAATTAGAGCAGTGATTACATAATCAAATCAAATGGATTATTATTTCAAAGAGATTTTCAATAAATAACTTAAATTCAAAAAAAAAAACAGCTTATAAAAACATGTTATCAATTTGTCAGCCTATCACACTGTTTATATGCTTCTCCTCGTTTATTCATGGCTTTAGACCAAATCTCTATAAATTATCATCTAATTCACAGCATGAATGGAATCCTTCCAATCAAATGTCTCCCTCATCATCATCGTCATCATCATCATCATCATCATCATCATCATCAGCATTGATAAAACCATCAAGTTTAACAGCATTCTCATCGTTGCCTTATTCTAGTGATACAAATTCTTATGCCTACTGGAATTGTCATACCATACCACCAAATATGACATTATGCAAAAGTGTCGGTTATTCACGTATGGTTCTACCAAATTTTCTCCAACATGAATCATTACGTGAAGCAATACAACAAGCGAATGTATGGATTACTTTGGTGAATACTGATTGTCATCCAGATATACAACGTTTCTTATGTTCATTATATGCGCCGGTCTGCTTGAAAAGTCATCAAGAAGCTAAAATACCACCATGTTGGGAATTATGTAATCAAGTACGTGATTCTTGCTTGCCACGTATGCGTTTATTCGGATTTGATTGGCCAGATATAGTACGTTGTCAACAATTTCCTCGATTAACTGAAAGTATGTGTATACCACCACAGGAGAAAAGTACAAGTAAGTGATATATATATAGTATTTTGATAATAATTAGATATTCTTATTATGACACTTGTGAAATATTGTTGAGTTTTATTGAAGTCATAGACTAATTAATGTTAGACCACCATTTTGGTGGCGCAATGTGCTTTTAGGTAAACCTCTTTTCCTTTTGGTTTGAGTGTAGTGAAGGAGAACACAGGTAAGGGCAACCGAATTGTATTTATCGCAAATTACAGAGTTAATCAGTAAAATAGGAAAACCATATCGTAAACGGTTAATTTGCAAATCTTCATTCCATCATCAATCCATTGTCTGACATTTCACTATTCATGCATTTCATACAAATTCCATTGTGTTCCCACTCTTCCTCCCTTTCTTGATCTTCTCCCATCTTCTGCTGCCAGACATTACGTTGACGATCACTTCATATACTACTTATAAGTAGCGCGCACCACATGAGGATTTCATGTTCAGAGCAACCTTGTGACTCAAATGAGAGTCTTCATCGATGCTTATCCTATCCACCTCTAGTGCGTTTTCCTAATTTGTTCCTTAGTTGGAATTTGGTTTGTCCTCTATCACAATAAGTGGTTGCTGACGATGTTTAGTCAGTAGATCTGCAGTATCTTATGGTGAACACTTGTTATTAAACACCTATATCTTGTGGATGATGACTTTTGTGGTTGTCCAAGCTTCCATTTCATACAATTCAAACGGTTCTGACGTCTTATATTGAAAACTCTGACTTTCACGTATTGATTACCTGAAAATTTGTCTCTATGTATTAGTCAGTGTAAGGACATAACAGTATTCACAAACTTTATTTTCGTCTACTTTGCCCAAGAAATAATTTTATGAACTGAAATCATGAATATCAGTAGTAGTGAGTGTTGATTTTATCCGAATTAACCCGAAACTCAACTATCTACATGTTATTATCAGCTGTAAACACTTTTAATTTCAGACCATTAGGACATCATATATAAGCGTAGTACAGTTTTAAAATTTAGTTGACGTTTATTTAATGTCACATACCAATGAATTACTGTTTCACTCTTGTCTTGACTTACTACATCGATCACAGGTTTACACTGAAATCAGGAATCCCTCATTATTAGACCACCTTTAGAAACCTGGACTATCGTATCGTTGTAGCATGGGATTGATGAGCAATGCTCATCCACAACCCCCATAATGATGACGAAGTGGTTGTCTACAGTACTTCTGGACTTCTGGTGGTAGTCTAAGAATGATCGATCCATGATTTTAAATGTAACTCGAACTATGTTCTGTTATGCTCGACTCTAAGTATACTTAAACTATTACGAGTTCACCTTAGACGAATAACTAGAACAAAACAATGAACCAGCGTCCAGGTAGGCTACTGTGATCCCTTGACCAAACTGTATCAGTAATAAGTCTTGATATAGTGTAGAAATTCTATTCTACAAACACCCAGTCAGTAGACAATGAATCAAGCACTCAAATTACGTTTATTTATACACTATAGAGACGTCCTTGGGACAGTCACAAATATAGCACACTAAAATAACACAGTAACCAATCACAGCCAAGGATTTTCCTGGTGGGAAATGTGATCTCAAGGTCAACTGATCGGTCCATGAAATAAACCCCAAAATAAAGATATTTTTATCAAGCGAGTTCCCTGGGATCTAACATCCCTAACAATTCATAACTCCATATTATTTTTGAAGTTGGTAATTAGTACGTAACACATTTAAAATATCCTTCCTTTGATTAGTCTTTGTCTAAACTAAAAGAATTTTTATATACTGAACAAATATGAGTACCAGCATAAAGGATTGTTTGGAAGTGGGATGAATAAATTCTCGAAACAGGAGCTGACAATTCATCAGTTATATTGAATACCATCCCCCCCCCCAAAAAAAATATCAATCGATAATCATCCAAAAAGTATTCGTACAAACCTTATTAGAATTTTACACAAACTTAACATGACAACCAACAAGTGAACAGTGTAACATTTCAAAATGTGTTTCAGGTTTTATATACACACTTGAGTCTATTTGAGAGTATTTTTTATTTTAATGTGTAGAAACAATGCTCCTCATAAAACTATCAGACAAAAACTCAAAAAAATGTGCTCACTAGTGACTAATGGCTACGTGAAGAAATTCTGAGATGTGACCGGTGAAGTTCAACCTTGTTTTGGTGTAGGGTGTGTCGTAACTACCGAAGGCAAGTAGGTGAGGTTGCACAAAATCCTTATAATAATTAAAGTTAGACATTAACAGTGATGGATGCACGCCAGCTAAGTGATCCAGAGGTTGAACGTTCCCACTCAAGACCGAAGGTCCTAGTGTGGTGCGAGCTACTTATAAGTAGTATATGACGTGAGTGAAACCGTAATGTCTGGCAGCAGAAGAGGATGTGGGAAGATCAAGAAAGGGAGGAAGAGTTAGAACACAATGTAATCCGTATGAAACGCATGAATAAGTGAAATGTCAGACAATGGATTGATGATGGATCGAAGATTTGCAAATTAACACGGTTACGATATGGTTTTCCTATTTTACTGAGTAACTCTGTAATTTTCGTTAAATACAATTCGGTTGCCCTCACCTGTGTTCTCCTTCATTACACTAGCTTCGACTCCTGTGAGTGGCGGAGTCGTGAATGAGCACTATCACTGGTGAGTCTCATATCAGGACGAAACGGTCATCCAGGGCTTCCAGGTTTCTCAATGGTGGTCTAATAACCATGATTGATTCATGATTTCACTGATTTTATCTCTATTGAAATTTAATTTTTAGAGGAAAAAAAGATTTTTTTCTCCCTCTCAATCAACCAACATCTTCCATTTTCTCTCTTCTCACCGCTTTAATTGATTTCAATTTCTGACACCCTATAATTATCATTTTTATAAAATTAAAGTTTGATCAGAGAGCAAAAAGTCTGCGTGAAATCAAATTACTTTTTGCTATATTCTCTCCCCTCTTCTTTCTTCAACTAAAAACAGGATTTTAAATGTTCATTAGGAAAGAAACGAACTATTATTTTTTTTCAGCTAAAAACTTAGACAATAGGTCAACTTTTTGTTGAAGCGATTTCATTAAATTTGAATTTAAAAAATAAACGTGATTTTATTTTTTCTGTGTAAAGAGATAATAAATAGTAAGAGATGATTGTTAAATACGTATTATGTGATTATTTTTAGTGACTAACTCCTTTGAGTTAGTTATTACGACGAGTTCTAGTGTGAAATTGTGATTAGTGGAGTTTAATTCGTGTCGAGTGTAAGGTGGAGGATACGTGCTGAGGACAATGGAAGAGAGGTTGTGCAATGTCGTCATGGATTGATTGAAGTTAGGCATTAATACTGTCGGATGGCGATTCAGTGATCATGAGGTTCTCACGTAATATCTAAGGTCCCGGTGTTCGATTCTGATATGCGGAGGTCATGGATGTACATTACTGTTGATAAGTCCCATATGAGGTTGGTGAAATGGCCATCCAGGGCTTCTAGGTCGCTAATGCTGCGCTAACATTGATCGATTTGTGATTTCAGTTTTTTCTAACTAGGTGTTTCACCTCATCGATCGATTTGCTGGTCGAATAAAGTGCTTACATATTGAAATTTGTAATTTATGTATAAAATGAATTGTTGTACACTTGTAAACTGTCAAAATAAACAATGTCCTATGTTCAATAATTGTATTTTATGAAATAACAAGGATTATGTCAGACACAAATTTACACTATTCTCTTCTAAAAACAATAATTTATATATAAATTGCATTATAGTATTATGGAGGTCGTTGTTTATACACATCGGAATCGTGAATGAATCATTGTTAGACTACATCATTAGAAACCTGGAAGCACTGAAAGACAGCTGTTTCGTCCTATAGTATGGGATTCATCATCAGCATGCATCCACGACTCTTGCTGCTCGTAGGACTCGAACTCAAGACTCATGATTTCAATATATATATATATATATATATGAGTTGAGGCCGCGTTGAATTGGCTCGCTCATTGGCATTCTCACTGACTCACCTGCTCACTCGCTTTTCGGCACTCGAATATCATTTCTCTATCGCTTCGTATAGCTGTTGTTTTGTGATCTGTGTGTGTGTGTTTGGTGCCATGATGAACGTAGTCAGCGCTTTGTACTCGTCTTCTGATTTACACATCTTTAGGCGCTATCTAGGAACAGTTATGAGGACGAGAAGTATACGAAGTTTAAGAATATAAAATCGAATATCGACCGCAACAGAATTGGTGAGCCCACATTCACCTTTGAGTAAATCTTAGATAAAAATATTATTTTTTTTCTATGGTATTTTTGTATATTAGTTTATTTTCA